AACGTATGCATTTTGCTTGAGTTTATTTTGAACAAATCTTTCGACACTGATTATTCACAAACAAGTAGGTCGAACGCTGATTGGTGGATTATGAGAGGGGAAAGGTGTGTCAGTAAAAGACAACAAGATACCAATCAAAGAAGGTACTAGAGTGACAGCGGGAGAGGGAGCGAGATAGAGAAGTAAAGAGGGAGAGAGAGAGAGAGAGAGAGATAGCAAACAACAAACAAGAGGGAGAGAGAGAGAGGGGGGGGGGGGGAGGTGGAGAGGAAGATAAACAGGGAGAAAGGGAGAATGGGCGTGTGTGTATGAGTGTATCTGAAAGAGAGAGAAAGAGAGAGAGAGAGAGAGAGAGAGACAAAGAGACAAATAGAGAGACAGAGAGAGAGAGAGAGAGAGAGGAAGAGTGGGAACTACACTGTAGAAGGACACAAAATTCAAACTCCTGATATGATCGTAAATACATACATCTTTACAACAAAAAAGAACTGATCGAAGTGACTGTAATCTTTAAACAACTGAAATTCATTAAATCCAGCAATTTCATGACGAGTGAAATGACGATTTGTCCATAAATCCATCCCATACAAATTATGGAACACACTATGGTAATCAAAACCGGTAAAGTCGAAATAGAACCATAACTTTGCAATTATTTCTTCACAACCTAATAAGCCTGTTTATCATATCACTGCCAATTATTCGGGTGATTATGGAAATATATTTTTTTGGTTTAATCTTGGAAAGAAAAAGATCCAGACTACTCGCTTCATTATAGAACAATAATCTATTAATCTTTTGTTTAAAGGATTTTAACAAATTAATGAATCCAAAATGAAAAGAAGAAAACAGTTTTCTAATTAGAGGTTATGATGAATATGGTCAAAATTATCTTTTAGTTTTTTTGTATCCAGTGCAAACTAATGTTGATACGCATAATGTTCATCATGCTCAATTGAATTTCTTGTACATGTTTGTTCTTGATCATAAGTAAAGAAGTATCACGCCATTTTCGTACCTACAATTTTGAAAAAGTGCTGGCTCCTTTCTCTCATTTCTGCCTACATTGCCTTGTACTATGAAACACATCTACTCTCATTCATTCCTGAACCCATTCTGTAAAGTGCGAGAAATTGTATTATCTTCATAGAAGATCAATTCATCTCCTCATGTTGAAAAAATGGTGACTCTTTACATTATTGATTTTCAGAAGGTATCGTTTTCGATGTCTGTTCTGAGAAGCACATACAAAGAACGATGTGTGAATTAATATTATAGGTAGGTTTTGAAAACTATGATACCCCGGAACAGTGGATCTGAATAACAGGTTTGTGTCGTATCCTTGCCATTGATACAAACCGTTGCTAACGTCATGAGCTCCGTGCAACGTGTCTCAAAAATCACAAGCTAAACCGGAAGTCTTGCAGATCTGCAATCGACCCGGAAGTCACCAGATCCGTCCACCTTGCCAAACGAAATTTGCCGAATACATCAGGTAACACACTTTCCCCATATATAAGGGTTATCGATTGATGTGTATACTGGATACAAAATAACTTTGACAGAATATTGAACACCTATGGCTATGCTAAAGAAAAAAAAAATAGAACGTGGCATAAGGACCGACTAGTTATAGGACTAGTACACTCTGCTAACAATACATAACTAACTAAAAATGATAATGTGAATGGTTGACGTTTACCTTTCCATGTCAGTATTTACTGAACAAGATCTGATATAATTTGTACACTTGTGCTTTAGAAATAATAGGAACGGGAGCAAGGGGAAAACGGTCAATTACTGAGCTTTACTTTAAACTTTATATATGGTACAGTGAGTGACCATCACAGTGAGCGACAATTACCATTGCCTTTCTCAAACATTACTGCAGTATGCACGTAACGTAACTGGCGTGGCGTGTGGATTGTAAATAGGGGGAGGAAGGGAGAGGCAAGGTAATTCAAATTAAGAGATAGTGAGATAATATCCCACATATCAAATTTACTTCATCAACACCCTTTCCTCATTTACGGCGTTATCGATTGATTGACTTTGAAAATAATTATGACAGAATTCGAACACCTACGACATTTAATAATACAAACGGGATAAAATGGGAAAGCGCCGACTAGTGAAGGACTGGTCAATTCTGGTAAAGTAGACACCGTTAAATACATGCTGATATGATTGCCTGACCTCTTTTGTTTTGTGTGTAGAAACTAATGAAAGTAGTGTAGATAAAATTGGTTGAAGGGCACTAAACAATGCAAAAAAAATGAATGATTAAGTTAACACGCCTATCAAAATGAATGAGATGTTCAATCTTTTTTTTAAAAAATATATAGGAGAGGGGATGACCGATTCATTTTTGGCTCAAACATTCTTGTCTAAACATTTATCTTGTTGCCCCCTTTTCACATATTGTTCTTCTTTTTGTTTTAATTTCGATATTGAGATCCACCTCTGGCGCTATTTCACACCACAGAGTGAGTCAGAAAATGTTCCACTTTTTAAAAGTTGTATTGTTTGAAGTATGAATATTTAATCATGGGTTTCATGATATGTCTTTGTTCAATGCACTGTTTTATTCGTCACCCAGTAACTTGGCGCAAGTGAGACCTGGCAGTCTTGCAAAGATTGACTGATGTTCAGTCATGCATGCAGAGATTCAAATGAAAATAGTACCTAAATGTACTGGGAGGATAACTCTATCAAGACATGATATTCATACTTCAAGCAATACAACTTGTAAAAAGTGGGACATTTTTTTCTGACTCAGTCTGTCTATTGTATATTCATAAACACATATTAACCAATTTCAACGACTATTTTACACACGCACACACAGTCGCCCACGCATTGATATTAACACTACATTTATACTGAGAAAAAATAATCAGAGTTGGGAATTAATTTTGAAATTACTTGCAAGTTAAACAAAATAATAAGGATTTAGGTGGTAGATTAGGAGGAAAAAAGTTCTAGAAAGGGGCTTACCAGTATTAAATGAATGATCAATTTTGATCCCCCAAAATATAAAAAATAACAAAATCAATCAAATTACTTAAATTCCCTCATACTAATATCCATTGTGGCATTGCAAAATGCCAGGGATGAAATCAAATCTAAATGTAAATCAATGACTTACTTGTCTCATCCATAGCTCACTATGAGATTATTTTAAAATCGTTTTTTAACAATAATGTTCAAGTTTACTACATTTGAAATGTTATTAAATCATATACATGGACTAGTTATCTTTTGAATCAAATTGAATTGAATTGAATTAAATTTATTTTGTTTTATTCTGCAACATTCATTTACAATAGCATTACAGCGATAAAAACACATACAACATATAAATTATTTTTGTTAACGTGTACGCAATACAATAATTTGAGAATTGTTGACATTCAAACAAAATATAACTGATAAAACACTACCAAGAATTATTTATTAAGAAATATGTAAAAGAAATGCTATCAAGAAAACTGATAGCCAGGGGTGGGGTGGTTAAGAAAAAAATGATGATTCAGACTATGATAATGGTTATGATGATAATAAGGATGATGAAGAGTAAAATAATCATGTTGATGTGAATATATCTGACACAAAAAAGTTATATAAGTATGCGAGATTTATGAAATAATTATAGTGATCATCCCTAATTCTTCTGTTTATAATACATTCATCATGGATTTTGTATAAAGATATGGAAATAATATTTGATATAAATTCAGCGCGGGGGAAAGATCCAATAACATGAATTAAGGGTTTTACATAATCTTATTGAGTCTGGGGGTGCATTACATTAATCTCTACCATGATGTCTTATTTATTTCAAACTCTAAAGTGCGATTATATGAAAAATTGACGATGTTTGAAATAAACAAAAATATTGGTTGTGTGAGCTAAATACTAAAAGTCAGCCCACATGCGAAGCTCTTTCTTTTGCAATATATAAATACGAATGATTTGTAATATTGCGTTTAAAGTTCACACCAAGTTACAATATGAAATGTATGGCAAGATGAGCGACTTTTATAGCATCAAAAGAGTCTTAGGGATATACATTTGTGTCTTACAAAGTACTCGAATATTGTTATACACGCGTGTAATTATACGTCGTATCTGTTGATTCCAACTGACTTCATCATCAATAAGCCTACCTTAAAAAATATAATTTGCTTATGTCTCACTGGTATATTATCTACAACAATATTACAAGGGAAATCTGAGGTCTGAGCATTTGTATGTTTAAATTGTATAAAGCTCGTTTTATTAATATTTAGAGATAGTTTATTACTTTTGGTATTTACAAACAGCAGTATGGTTTTGTTTTAAATAAAATATTAAAATAAATAATTGAGATACAGAAATATTCAGATATAATATGATGTATTTATAATGGTTGAAATAAATAAGTTCCATTTGTTCTAATTCTCTATTCATGATATATATTTATTATATATGTGAATAAATAGAAACTAGAACCATGTATTCATACCGTCATTATGAATTAAAACTAAACTCGTGAGCACGGATTTTCTGAAATAAAGAATAGAAATATGTATCAAACGTTTCATTAGTCGTTTAGAAAATGAATCATGATTAATTTTCCCTACATAGTAGGTACGTTATATTTGCATTATCAAACTTGATAGATTTTGTTTAACCATAACCTTATGAAGGCTAAATATCGTTAGATCGTCATATCTAATCATATCATGTGTTATCGTATCATACGTATTGCCATATGAAACAAATGAATACATTTTATTTCTAAGATTCACATGTAAATGAAACTATCAATACGAAAAACAACAATCGTAATCTATTTCTTTTTTGCAAAATCAATAAGTTTAACATATTATACAACGATCATATTACAATCCTGACTACAAATCGACTCCATTGTAATATCTAGTTCAGCCTCTTGTCGATGTGCCTGGGGTAGGACAGTGTTCAAAACATCTTCAGAATACCAGGATCAGTCCAGATTAGGCCACTCTCTGTCGCATGCAGGCACATGCCACAGGGACAGCCAGAGTCTGCTCTTCGTACTTGTACATCCCTCCTGCGCACCGGGTCTTCTTCAACACCTTGATGTTCCTCTTGACAGGGGTGCACTGAAGGTTGGGATTCGGGGTGTGGGTGTAGGGGTCCAGGCATCCGCTGCACTGGCACTGGGCCACCTGCAACGCCATCGGGATGCGATCCGCATCAAAGCACTCCACGTAGGTCCAAGGACATAGGCCATTCTCGTTGACTACCAACGTGCTACCAGGAGCTGTACCCGATGGGCAAGTGGCGTCACTGGAGATCCCGGTGAAGATGGTGTTGGAGCACGTAGAGGACTGACTCCTACCGATGTCAATGGGTGATAGAGTAAAGGATTGGACGGCAAAAGCAGCTTTGTTAGGGTACAGGCCACTCTGAGCGAGAGAATGATTGGAGATGCATGTCAGTGGCACAGGGTTGCAGCTACTTGCAGCAATTAGAGCCAATAAAAGGACCACAGTCTTGGTGTTCTGAAAGCAAATGTACAGGAAAGTGAAAACAAATTCATTATCAAACAAACACAACCTATTTAGCAATTGTACTTGTACAAGTACATATGTAGTACGCGATAGTAATGTATTTAATCAATCTTCATTAAAATGGCGTATACAGTTTGTACTTTTGTGCGAGACATTAGACAAACTTATAACCAGCAAGCAATTCCTAGTTAAGGAAAATAAAATGATCATGTACATGTATGTATCAAACCATTTTATTTTAATTAGTGATAGAGTTCATTTTAAAGGAGAGAGAATTCTGATATTTTAAGGGAGACCTATTAATAACATAGCCAGAATCATAGTGAGAAAAACTGTGAAACATCATTTGTGTTGAAAGGTTTAATTTAACCTTCGAAATACATAGCCCGTGAACCTATGTGAATATTCTTTATGATCAAATCAGTCAAGCTGTTAATAAAGTATCCAACGCAAATCATAGTTACAAAGTGCATTATTAGGAGGTTTAATAGAGCCATTATGATAGTTACCTTTGTAGTATTCATTTTGTAGTTGTATCGTGGAAATCACAGTGATGGGATTCCTTCTGATATAGAGTATGTCCCGCTAATAAACTTCGATGTGAGATTGCAACTCTGAGTCCTCGGAGTGATTGTTGGCTTTTCTCTCCCGTTTTTGTCGTTTTATACCCTTTTGGGACGGATCTGGAAATATAACTCTAATACATTATTCTCTCTTTTTTCAACCAAAGCATTCATTCTATTTGCGTTCATGACAAAAACTTAAATAATTCGGCTTACTAGTAAGTCTCCTGAAATGTTTTCAGAAAAGAAGGAGATATTTATTTATGTTTTAATTTTTAAATCCCCTTTTCATACCAGATTTGCTTTCCCAAAGGTGTGCAAACGTGAATATGTGTCTATAAATACACATCGATGATTGCAAATTCCATTCATGAAATTATAAGCATACCACATTGATTGAAATATAAATTGTTTCGGTCAATTCAACAATCAATTTGATTAGTTTTGTTTCTTTATGTCCAACAAATTATGGCCATTGCTTTTGTAATCCCTTCCTTCTAAAACCTGTTTTTAATTAATGAAAAGGGTAGCTCTCTACATTTCCCGTTAGATTGAACGTCCTCTGTTTTAATAGCCTTCTCTATTTATAATCTGCCCCTCTTTCTATCGTCAGGTTTCAGAAATAATTCATACAATTTTCCTCGCATTTTCCCCATTCTTGTTCTGTCAAAAACCATGCTATCAATAGCAACAACAACAACAAAAATCATCGTTTGTTCTGCTAGTTATTACCATTATCTATATTACGATTGTTTCTATTAATCTATTTGGGATTTGAGATATGTGTAGCATTTATTAATGTTTAGGCCAACTGGCCGATGTGATGCATTTCTTTTAGCAATGGTTGTTCGTTTCGGATGACGACGGAAACGGAGAGAGAGAAAGAGAGAGAGAGAGAGAGAGTTCCTATGTTATCATATGTAAAATAATTCCATTGTAGGGAACGGGCAGGATGGCTCACGTGATTTAAAATGAGTCCACCACGGGAAAAAATAGAAATATATATATATATATTTCATTTTTCTTTTGTATTTTCTGGTTTGATTACGGATGCCTAAAATACGGGTTGATCTATTTTCTGTCTTGCTAAATGTCGATCGAATATTGCCTTTCAAACTTGCCTTGAAGGAGACACACTGAGTGATTAATGAAAGTAGACGATCCTCGCCTTTGTCTGAATGTTTGAAATCTGATAGAAATCCATTGAGAAAAAAGACATGCAGCGAGGTAGAGAGCAAGAGAAAGGGAAGAGAGAGAGGGGGAGAAAGGTATTAAGAGGAGAGAGAAAAGAGAAATAGAAAAGGAAAAAAGAGAAAGAGATAGACAAGAGAGAGATAGAAGAGGGGAAAACAGAGAGATAGAGGATGAGTAAAGAGAAGGATATGTATATATATTTCATATAATAGAGAAAGAGAGAGAGGAGAGAGCGATAAAAGAGGGAAGACCAGAGTGATAGAGAATGAGCAAAGAGAATAGAGAAAGAGAGAGAGAGAAAGAGAGAAAGAGAGAGAGAGAGAGAGAGAGAGAGAGAGAGAGAGAGAGAGGGGAGGTGGAGATATAGATGCATACATGTACATATATTTATACATACATCCAGTGAGAGACAGACACATAGACAGAGCGGTGGGTATATATAATATCAATGGAACAGTAGGTCACACGATCATCACCTCCTTGTGATCCGTAACGCAAGGCCGAGACACCGGGGTGACTGTAGGCATTTCTATCCGGCGTCCTAGTTGCACTCATACAATTCATGCATTTGGGACATGCTTACTGGAACAAGGAAAGTCAGGATCTCTTTTAAATAGAACACATTTTCCGTTTTTTCCTCCTTTTGTCCTACCATACGGAAGGGGCATACATGTACTATAGATAAAAAGAAAGGTTGACTTATTTGATTTGATGTAGTGTCGTGATCACAACGACTTTCATGAATAAATCAAACAAAGGCTTTTTCAACGAGCTGATCCATTATTTATTGACATGTGATTACAATGGCATACATTAACCGAACATGATGTCTATACGCAATACAGTAATGCATTGAATTTTCCTTTCTGATAATTGATTTTCTGAAAGTTTATCAATGAACTCCACTATACATACGAAGAAGCTCTGTGGGCGAAATTTTGTAATGCCATTACGTTGTGACTTTGACTGGTGTGTGTATGTGTGTGTGCGTGTGTGCGTATGTGTGTGTGTGTCTGTTGAGTCTCTTCCCTGTCTCTCTCTTGATATAATACACACATATACACATATATACATATTTCTATATTAATTAATAAGTTACAAACCAGTTGATATTTAGCTTTATTATATTATGCAATACCTGTGTAATCGGAAGATTATTATTTTTCTATATTATAACATTTAAACCTTTTTTAACGGCGTTTTACTTTGTAGGAACTATAACATACACGATCGCAATATGTTTTTCTCGAAAAATCCACTCTGGGGCAGTTTAAATACCCCATTATACGTCCCACACAAGTTCCCTCTTCAAAATATGTTTGGGGCCCGCCGTAATCATCTCTCTCTCTAAAAAAAAAAAAAATTGGTTCCAGATTTGCTGCCTTCAGCGGTCCTAGGGCGTCAATATTCGTGACGTCACATGCGGGACATAGCTAGCCACAACATTGCATGTTACACCTATTCATGATATATACATGATTTTCCAGCAAATTATCGTGCTTTTCAACAGAAAATCTTCCATCCATATATTATTTGTACACAATTATAAGTTGTCGTGCATTTTTTTCGGGTGACTACTTTAACGCTATCAACAATTTCTATCGTGTTTTATTTGTATTGTAAACACCAACAGGCAATGGAAACAAAATGAATCTTTGAATTGTTTACAGGACTTAAGATTAGAGCTGCCATTTTTTGTCAACAGCAAAGACATAATCGAGGGCCGAAGGGAAACGTGTCAATCCATGCTTGGAACATAAAGTTACGTAACCCATCTACTCATTTGCACAGATGTTTTCATATGTTAGCGTAGTTAGAATTAATGATGTCCATAAACCCAGATGGTGCCTCAATTACCGTTGTCATTGGTTATATCAGTAATTGTCCTCCGTATAAGTCATTGCGTATACGAAAGTATATAATTTTATAATAGGATGACGTGGATCCTAATCAAATGATTGGTTGAAAGCGTACACATGATACGGTTTTTATTTTGTCTAACGCGAAATTTGGATAATGACCGGTCATTATCCGATTCTAATGACCCGTCATTAGTAAAATCGTCTTATAAAACATCATTTTAGAAAACAAATAAAACATAATCTTATAAAGCAGATAATACACATCATTTCGTTCGGGCATAAGTATAATTAACCACACTCGGTACCTTCAAAACAGTCCAAACACCCGCGGTTATCGCCTCGGGTGTGTTAGACTGTTCCAAAGGCACCTTGTGCGGGTAATTCTTACTAATGCCCTCACTGCTGTGTATTATTGGTATAATGTAAAATGGATCTGCGTCATTTCGTTCATAAACTAGGCAATACAAAATCGTATGTTGTACTTTGGCGCTACCCAACACACAATATAATGACATATGGCATCTGAATCGAACATTATTATATCTTAGAACACATTTATTCAAGTAGATTTGATATAATTACATATCAAGCTTATAGCATTGATCCCCATTTTTCCTTTATGTTTTTCTTTCTACCGAGTGGGGAAAAAGTAGGGAAACAAGAAAATTATTAGAGGAAGATATTTACTACCATGACAGTCCTAAATAAAGACTATTATTGAAGCCCTCAAAAGAACAAACAATTTTCCAAAAAAGGTCCCAGCACAAGACCTTGTGGGACACACACACACACACACTTGCGCACACACAAATACACCTGTACACATACACAGGGTAAGGCATTCGGCACAAATACAATTTGGGGCACCGCAAAGTGCTAAATACAATCAATCGACATTACGATTGATTGCGTTATACTTCAGAACCCTGAATAAACATCCACATGATGACTTTGTTGAATATATTTGCAAAACTTCATTGTTATTAATTTGATAAATATTGTTTAATTTAAACCATAACGCTAGTCGAATCGATATACCCTTTTTCGTCAGTTTGGAGAAAAACACCATGTATTACGGCTGTTCGAAATTTGATTTATGAGTAACGTAGGCTGTTGGTTTCTTGGATCTTATTGGAACTTTTTTTTATGAGTTCCTTTATTATACCGGTCGTGTGTCTACTGTGAGGAACCCGCTTGCAGATTTTATGTATAGTATTATGCATCATTCTGTATCATGGATAATTGGAAGGGGGTGGGACTGCTATTAAAATTGTGAAAGACACATACACACGTACAACATTACAGGATGTACCATAAAAAGGCACATGCAATATTGTGTTTTATATAATCTATAATCATATTTTCTCTGACT